TAGCTCCTCCTGCCTGCTCTTGGATTCCATTTGATTAGAATATGATTCTCTATCCTTTTACTCTTAATATGTATCATTTTGCCAGTGAGATGAATTTCTTAAAAATAGGTTTTTTTCATCCAACCAACTGCTCTGCACCTTTTAATTGGAGAATTGAGACCATTACATTCAGAGTTGGTTCTTAAAGAAATCACAAAATCCTGCCATTTCATTGTTTTTATTTTTGTTGTTTTGAGAATTGTTTCTCTTATTTGTCTTAGTGGGTGTTGTTTTTTATTTATTTATTATGTGGTGCTGAGGATGGAACCCAGGGCTTCATTCGTGCTAGGTAAGCACTCTACCGCTAAGCCACAACCCCAGCCCCATCTTAGTGGTTTGCTGAAATACATATTTTCTTCCCTATTCCTCACTTGCTTAATTATTCTTCAAGTGAGATTTATAATTTTCCATGCCCTTATGTTTGTCTATCTTCTGCAATTCTGGTTTAGTGGTCACAGTTCTCTCAGTCAGATGCTCATGTTGAAAGGTCTTTATTTCTTCCTCCCTTCTGAAGTGTAACTTTACTGGAGATAGGAGCCTACGTTGACAGTTGTTTTATTCCAGATCTTGAAATATACCATTCCATGTCCTCCTGCTGAGATATGTGTTATTCTGATAGTTCTGTTTTTATACATGAATCGAAGCTTCTCTCTCGTAGTCTTTGATATTCTTTGTCATTCTACATTTTTGGCAGCTTATTATATGTCATGGAGAGGTGCTTTTCTGGTCATGTCCATTGGTGGTTCTGAATGACCACAGCTCCTGGATGTCCATATCAATCCCAAGATCTGGGAAATGTTTTGTCATTACTTCACTGAGGTTTTGATGACATTCCCCTGTAGTTCCACTTTCTCCTCTAAACTCATGGGTTGTAAATTCAGTCTTTCAATGCGGTCCTAGAGATCTTGTGTGTTCTGTTCATACTTTTCTTTTTATTACTGTCTCAAAGTGCTTGCTCATCCACCTTGTCTTCAAGTCCTGATAGTCTTTCTTCTGTTGACTAGTCTATCAGTGAGCTTTCAACTGAATTTTTTGACTTATTGGACTTTTCATTTCCAAGATAGTCTGGTTGGCTCTTTGTTAGAATCTCTCTATTGAATTGCTCTTCATATCCATTGTCTTCCTTAGTTCCCTCCAGCTGTTTATTCATATCTTCTTTAAATTCATTGATCATCTTAACAGTTTTTTAGTTCTTTGGCCTTACATCCTCCTCAGTACCCACGCTCAGTTAGGAGCCGTGTTGCCTTGTTTTTCTCCTGGTTTTTGTGTTTCGTTGCTGACTTTTGCAAGTCTGGTAGGATGCAAGTGTCACTATTATGGGAGGCTCTCAGCAGCTTTTTCTTGATGATGTGCCCTGGGCTGTTGGCTTATTGTGCAGTGTTGAGCTTAATTCCAAATGGACTTTGCATTGTAGGTTTTTGTAGGTTGCCTGTGGCTTTTTAGGCTGTGCTTGGTGAATTGTGACTGTGTCAGAACCTGAGGGACCACCTTTCTCTGTTGGACTCCAGTGAGTGGGATCCCGCTGCTGGTTCAGGCAGGTATGACACAGACCGTGGTATATAGTGGGTACACTCTTAGTTACGCCTCCAGATTTGTCAGCACTGTGCTGTCTGCTAGGGTCTGGGAGCAGCCTAGGTGAGGGCCTGTCCTGAGGTGGCATGACAGTTGTGTTATTTCTAAGGGGGTGAATGGTCCTGTAGTGGATCTTCAGGATTGCCCTACTTTGGGGTTGGGACATCAACTGAAGTCTCACGCCCCACCCCCTTTTTAAGTTGAGGTTTGAGCAGGACAAGGTCTTGGATAGAGTGAGTTACAATTTCTTTCAACGAGGCTGGGGTATACCAACATTTTCAAAGTACTGGATTCAATCCTCAGCCCCACTTTGAGAGGATAAAACCACCACCAGCAACAACTTAAAAACCTCTTAAAAACAACATCTACACCACCACTAACATAGTGAGGGAAGGGCAGCAATAATATAGAACGGACTAAACTGTTAGGCATTAATGAAAATAGATCAATTTTTTTTGAAAAGCGGGAAGGAAAGAAGAGAAAAAGAATTTTAAAAATTAATGTTAAAAGTATAAAGTATGAAAGAAAAGAATAGTAAAGGAAAACAAGAGAAAAAGTCAAATATTTATCCTTGCTGAGGTATTTAAAATGTAGACCCTTCTTTCTGGGACCTCAATTTGGAATCCGCCAGGCATGGAGGCGGGGTGGTGGGTCAGGCTGTCGCAGTGTGGAATGCCCCTTCTCAGTTCCAGCCTACACTGTCCAAACCAGTTAGGGGTCTGTAGGTGAGCTCCCCCCTCTTGCCCTTGTAAGGTTATCCATAAAAGGGCTAAATCCCATTCTCAAGGCTTTTGTCTTTGTACCCAGGGATGGGGCTTGGTGACAGTAGGAGCCTCCTGCTAGCCCCTCTCACACACCAAGCCTGGAGACTGATGGGATTTGCACACCCTTGACTCAAAGACTCAGTGTGCTCAGGGCATAACTAATGTCCAAGCCATTGCAGTGTGTCCACTGAATGCTTCTGAGCATGGAAGAAGTGACCACATCAGTGGGATCTGCACCAGGTGGGATGTTGTGGGAACCAAGACTCTGCCAATCCTAGCCACAGCGCTCCCAGACCCAACCCCTTTGTGAATCTTAACACACCTGGTTTCACGGAGGCCAACTCACCAATTTTAAATGGAAATGCCTTCTGCTCCCCTGTGCCTCATGGGCCACAATTCCCACTGTCTAGAATTCTCCAAAGATCTTTATCACAGTCACTTCCCTGGACCTAAACTGACTCTCAGTGTTGGCAACCACAGAGCCAGTGAAAAGAAGAGGCTGTTAGGTCCAAGATACGTAAAAAAAATACAGGGACTTCTTACCTCCCTCCCAAGCAGTTAAGTCCATTCCATGAGACCTTCTGAAGATGGCTCCCTGTTACAGCACCATATGAACTTGGTGGAAACGCTGGGGACCTCTTCTCCTGCAACAGCCCACTGTGCAGCTCCCAGGTCTCATGTTTGCCAGGTGGCAAACTCTATTGTCCTGGACTCTGTTGTCACTGGGACTCTTCAGCCTGCTGAAGGGTGTCTTCCTCCCAGCACAGGGCCCATCCCGGTGTCAGTGTACTCTCTTCTAAAATCCAATATTTGGGGAATCACCTACAGCTATATTCTAGCACTTTCCTATGAACCCCCCACCACTACCTCAATGCACACCTGTTGATTTGGTTCGATCTCATGGGACAGCAGGTTAGAGCTGAGTACCTCTGAACTGTCATCATCTTGCCAAGTCATTTTAGAGTTCCTGGATGAGTCCTGTGATAGTGCTTTGTTATTTGGATTGGAGTGGGTTTTTTGTTTGGTTGATTTTTTTTAATTGTTCTAACTAGTTATATATGCCAGCAGAATGCATTTTGATTCATTGTGCAAAAATGGACCACAACTTTCATTTCTCTGGTTGTACATGCCATTCATGCAAACATACCAAGGGTAATGATGCCCATCTCATTCCACCATCTTACCTACACCCATGCCCCTTCCCCTCCTCTCACTGACCTCTGTTCAATTCAAAGTTCCCCCATGCCTTTATTCATGGATAAATATGGATCAGCATCCAATTATCAGAGAAAACATTTAGCCTTTGGTTTGAGGGGATTGACTTAATTCACTTAACATGATATCCTTCAGTTCCATCCATTTACCTGCAAATGCCATAATCTTATTCCTTTAATTTTGGTTTTTGTTTTTTGAGACAGTGTCTTCCATGTTGCCCAGGCTGGGATCAACCCATCCTCCAGCCCCAACTTCCCAGTGCACTAGATCTTTTTGTTAGACTGTTTTCTCTCTGAAGGTCCCAGCACCATTTCCTATAGAACGTCTATGCATTCACGAGTGGTCCAAGGCCCAAAGCAGACTCTACCTTGATATCTCCCAGCTCCCTGGACCCCAGGGGGGGGGGGGGGAGTTGCATATGGTACTTACTGACCCACTCCCTCCCGGGGGTGGCCAAGGGTGGAGCCCCATGAAAAGACACGACTTGAGGTTTTGCTATTATACTTTTTCCATTGCTCTTCTCATATTTCCATTAAGCTTTTTAAAAGTTGTGGCATGAGGGAATGCTGATAGTACTGTCTTTGTGTTGGGAACTTCCTATGATTCAGTGCTCACAACTATGCTCAGCAATAGGTCTTGTTTCCTCCCATTTTCCAGAGGAAGAAATTCCGATTCAGAGGTTGAGGGATTTGCACTGGTCTTCAGCTAAAACCCTCTGTAAGACAGCCCCAAGTTCATGCTCTGCCTGCCACCTCTAGCTGAAGGCACTAGCCCCTGGTCAAGGCTTACCTCCCCTCAGCTTCCTCAGAGAGCTTTACTTGTCCCTCAAACTACTACATCAGTTTTATGAACAACACCAAAAGTATGTGGGAGGAAGAACTCCAGGCCATGGCACCAAGCAGTCCAGACTGGCACGTGGTACTGAGCTTGTGTGGAGGGGCAAAGAGGGTCATCCTGACTCAGCCCAGCCAGAGTGGAGCCAGTCCTATGATGTCATTCTGAAGCCATGAAGGGATCAGTGAGATGCCTGAAACACTTCCACCAGCTTCTCATTTGGGGCTTTTATAAATCAAAGAGCCACCTGAAGGCACAGGCAAGTGTGCATCCCCTGGGGAGCACTGGCAGAGAACCCCAACATCAACTAATGCCCAAGGCTTGCGAGTACCATGGAACCAGAGGACCCATGTTGGAATGTTTGTAACTACATGAGTCTGTGAGACATCTTTTAAATGTTAGAGAAAATTCTGGTGAGAAGACTAGCAAAGGTGAGAGGATTGTAGTCCACAAATGAAACCCACACACAGCAACTTGCCATTCTCAAAACCCACTTTCCTAGGGCCTCTGACACTCCTGAAGTCCATGTCTGGTCATGGAGCTGAGGGACCCCATGTAATCTTATGTTTATTGCAGGGCATTCGGAAGCCCAACCCTCCTCAGAAGCCTCTGCCTGCTGATCCTCTGAGCAGGACAACTCGGCTCACCAATGCCTCCAGAAACCCAGGACAGCAGGAGCCAGGGCTCCGCCCTGCACCTACCAGGTAGGGGGTCTCTCTCTCTCTCTCTCCCCATCAAATGGGGGAAGCCAGCTAAAGCAACTAAGGCTGGGCAAGGCCATGCTTCCTGTAGTCCAACCAACTGGGAATGGTAGGAAATGGTTACAAAAATAGGCAGCAGTCAGCATGAGTCACCAAAGCAGGCATCGCCAGGGCACTTTCAGGAGGGCCAGGGACCTCAGCACTTGGAGCCTGGCTCAAGCTGGTTGGTGACGGCTATTAAATGTGCTGAAATTTTGCAAGGTAGGTGTTAAACCAGGTCACTGTTAAGATTATATAAACTTACCGTTGAATGTTTGTATAAACTCAATGGAAAGCACAGGCAGTGAACTCTGAGAACCTCCCTTCCACTTCTTTTTTACTGCCTTTGCTCTAATTGCGCCACTGGGGTTGCAGACATCTGACGACATGGTGGTCCCTCGTAGCTCTTCCATGTTTGGTGACAAGATGATGGTGGCTTGGAATCAGCCACAGTGGGAGCATTTACACCAAGGAAATGGTCAAACACTGCAGTGTGGCTCCCCCAGCCCCTGGCGAGTTGTCCAACGCTGACCAGCACAAAGAGGCCCAGGGCTCCTCTGTGTGCCCCTTGGCAGGACGCTTGCTTTTCAAGCTCAAAAGAACCAATGGTACTGTTGGCTGGGCCCTGTGCTCAGTAATTCCTCTCTCCAGAGGGGAGGACACACTAGTGATTTCATTACAGCTCTTGGGAAGAATTTTTGGCCTGTGGAAGAAATAGTTGCCTAATAAATCTCAGAGATAAAGCCGGTCAAAGGGTCAGTGCAATTCCCAACTGCAGAAACACAGGAAGATTGCATAGCATCCTAGTTATTTCATTGTGGTTTATATGTTGATCTTAAAGTTACTTTCCTTATTCTGTTTAAAGTAAAATATACTACTTTACATGGACTTGATGAAGGAAAAGCTCCTCATTTAAATGCCCTCAAGCAGTGGACTGTCTTGCCTCTGTTGTCACTGAGAGCAAGGCAAGCCTATTTAATCTTGTCCTGCACATTGTTTTAAAAAAATTTTTTTTAGTTGTCAATAGACCTTTCTTTTATTTATACGTGGTGCTGAGAATTGAACCCAGTGCCTCTCACATGCAGGCAAGCGCTCTTCCACTGAGCCACAACCCCAGCCCTGCACATTAATTTTGGAGGGATCCCATGTGCCTTACTTTTGCTCTGGTTATCTGTTGCTCTGTTCAACCCAGTAGACACTGGGCATTTGTGACTGGTCAAAAGTCAAACTCTGCTGTCAGTGTAAACACATGCTGAATGTTGAAGTCTTAGTTCCTCTAAAATGCCAATTCTCTCAACTTTATGACCTGTTTTGAAATGATACTCTACATCTATTGAGTTAAACTAATTTTAATAATAAATTTCATTTATTTCTTTTCTAGTAGGCACATGAAAAAAGCAAACATTACCTAAGTGGCTCTCACCCTTTTTTTTCTGTTGGACGGTGCTGTTCCAGAATCAACTGGAGTGTGAGAGGGGGTATCATTGGAGAGGGCTCCTCTGGTGGCATCTGTTGTAAACCACTGGGAATTCTGAAGCTCTAGAAAGGTCCCTGATGGGATCTGACACTCCTGCCAAAAGCAAGAGTGTCTCTAGACCTCCAGATGGGATTTGGCCTAGGAGTGTAGGAAAAGACTTCTCCCACCCCAGATTTCCATGTCTGCAGAAACTGTTCAAGACCTCTAACTACAACTTTGCTTTCTCCTCTTCACTGCTTTTAATTCAGACCTGCTCCTAAGTATCCACACCACGTGCCCAGACCCACCCACAGCGCCTATCCTCAGTGAGGAGCAAGCTGACACCTTCGTTCAACAGTGAAGACAGAAGTTTGCACTATCTTTCAACTCCACGTGGAGTGACTTTTTGTACCAACTTTTAGAATTTTTTTTTAATATGTTTAAAACACCATTATTTCAAGAACTTTGAGCTACTGCCGTCGGTGCTGTGCTATGGTGCTCTGTGTATTCGCTCAGGTACTTGTAAATTATTAATTTATGCAGAATGTTTATTGCAGTGCAGTGCACTGTACTAGGCATTTTTACCATCACTGAGTTTTCCATGGAAGGAAGGCTTGTTGTGCTTTTAATATTTTAGTGAACTTGAAATATCCTGCTTGATGGGATTCTGGACCAGATGTTTACTTTCTGATCAGGCTTTATTAGAAAGCAGTTGCTAATTCCCCACGGCTGTGTTAATGGTACCAGACACAACTCAGGACCCCTGGTAGAACCTTGAGTGATTTTTCTGAAACTCCTAGCCCAGGCCAGGGCTGCACTGGGCCTTCAGTGAGGCCCTCGGTGCCTACACGCTGACAAGCCCCTAGCAGCTGGACTTTGGAGCAGTGAATGACCTGGTTTGGGGCCAGGAAGCTTTGGAGAGAACCTGGGTTGCAGACAGGAATTTTGAGGTGTGGCCACACCAGGACAGAGCCTGGAACACTAGGCCAGGCAGAAACTTGACCTTGAGCTGAGCCGCCATGGGTCCCTTTGGAAAGCAAACAAGGAAGAAGTCTGCAGGATTGCTCAAGGTTTTCTTTATAGAAACATCAAGAACTTCTTTCTCTGGCTGCTCTTTATGCAGTTCTGGCATCAGCACATTATTTAGATTGGGAACGGTGGTGTTTCTACAAGAAGGCCACCGCCCCAGCACTGCAAACCACCATCTCCCTGTGCTGTTTGGAGCTAAGCAAATTACCACCTTGTCTTCTCAACTGTAATATGATGACCCTGTGTTCAGACAGATAGATGAGGCTTTCCATGGGACCATAATTCTTTTCAGATGTGAACTAGTAACCAGATCTAGTCAATCAATTCTTTAGATAAAAATCTCCTTTTACTGCAAGGTTCAACTTATTAAAAATTAGGCAGAAACAACTACTAAATGGAATGCCTTGCTCATTGGCACAGACTGTCTGGGCTGCCTTATTAGTACGTAGTGGACAAAGAACCACAAGTGACCATGAAGTTCTCTCTAGGGCACCCTATTTTCTCAGCTAGGCAGCTGGAATCTTAAACATTTGCAACCTACCTGTAGAGCATCACAAGGTATGATCAGAAAACCAATTTCCTAACCCTGTATTTTCACCAAAGGCCAGCTGGGGCAAGCAGCCCCTCCAAACATTTCACTCTCCCAGTGTCTCATTTCCTAGGATGTTTAAGATGCCTGGATCTAATAGCATGAAAAATACTCAGATAAGGCAAAAATGCCATTCTGGCCCTCACTGTCTTCTGTGAGATCATGAATGACTAGTTTTCACATTAGAAGGCAATTGACAGCAGTTCCGTAATTCACTGAGTGTTTCATGATGAGACTTCTTTTAGGGTCATTTCAATGGTTTTCCTATGCCTTGAAGCAGAAAGAAAAATACATACCAGGAATCTTGGTTTGCCTTCCAGAAAACGAAACTACATTTAACTGTGCCAATGTTCTCCCCATATATCTAGGCAACGTGGTATTCATGACTATGAATAAATAAATGTCACAAACACACAAAAGGTAACCCAACTCAAAGACATTCCAACTCTTGCAGCATGCATATGTTTTAATAAACAGATGCAATTATTTTCTTTAAAAAGTAAAGCCATGTTAGATGATATTACTGTGGATGAGATACATACAGGATTATTGTAACTAACTGATGTTACATTTAGTAATTGTGTCAAGGCCAAAACACACACTATTGAAAAGTTTACAGAATTTCCTGGTGTGGACATTGCTGCCTTCTCGCCCACGCCTCAGCTCCGGCACTTTCACCCTCCTCCTACTGCACGGAGCAGGGAGGATGGGAACTGCCTTTTCTGTTTTTGTTCTTTCTGAACTGTAATGACTGTGCTTTTGTTCCAGAGAACCAGGAAGAGTTTGGTATTAAAGGAGGTTAAAACTGATCTTCTGCCATGTCATCAATGGCCACTTTGTGGTTATGGCTGATGACACAATTTTATCTCAATACTAATTGCTTTTATAGAGCCATGCAAATTATTTCTGAATAAGAATATATTTAAGCCTTATAATACACAGATAATATTATTAAAGGAATACTTTCAAAATTCAATATTTATCAAATAAAGCATATTTAGCAATAACTTCCATTTTAATGTAACTTAGGAACCAATAACTAGGGTTGTTTTTTTCTTGGTGGGAAGGGTTTTCTCTCACTTTTTATAAACAATGGGAACAAAAATCAGTACTTCTATTTTAGTGGCAATATGACTATTCTTTAATATTTCTAAAATACTTCACAGGGACAAATAACAGTTATTGTGAGTTTTATAAAACCATTACTGAGAAAGTTCAGTGCCTAAACTCAAAAGCAGGCTGGAAGGCTACTCACCTTTCTTCCTACATCCAGCCAGGGCTGCAGGTTACAGGGCCCCACTCCACGGAGAGGTGCATGGCCAACCTTCCAGGCATTCCATTTATCTGCTAAAATGTTCTTGTTTTCCCAATACATTGAACCAGACTGTGGCAACCAAGAGAAACAATGCCTAGTGTTGTCCATTGTCCCAGTGGGACTTCCCCAGCGTACACATATAGATGACACCAGAGAGACTGCAAAGCAACAAATTAAACTATATGGGAATAAATATTCCTGACTAGTCTCCAAGGGGACATTATTATGCCTTTTTAACTTCATCCGGAATTCTCAGGCCTTGTTCTCTAACCAATCAGCACATTCCCTAAAATTGCTAAGACTCTGATCTGCGTCAGAGATTAGAGATCCCCCATGGTGCTGACCCCCACTGTAATGCCTGTGCCTCCTCCAGCCCCTCCACTGATGCTTACCAAGCACTCCCAGCCAAGGGAAGCTGGGCCAGACTGTCCTCATGCACCCTGATCTCTTGCAGACTCTCCTAGTGAGACCCATTTCATTCTTAAGCTTTGCTAGAGTCCGGGCAGACTTACTCTACAGAACCCTCCTCACTGCTCTCACAATGGCTCTAGCCACATGCAAGTGACCCAGATGAATGTTCCACCAGCCCTCCCAGAAGTAACTCAGGCTGGAAGTCTCACACACACACAGTGACTGACTGGTGGGGACACTACAGGTATCATCTTCTCTCCTCCATACCCATACCAGAAGCCATCCCCATGCTGCCAGTTACTCCCCATGTCTCATCAGCATCCTCTCACCTGGACACAGTAAGCCAGAAGCTCAAATCTGTTTGCCTTTCCTTGTCACCAGACAAGTGCCTAACTTCGGCCAAACTCAGTGTTAATGGCCCTCCAATCCCGGCAGTGAAGTCACTACTTCAGATCAGCCAGAGTGGCATCTGTTGCAGTGCATGGCAGCCCCATGGGGTCCACCTACTGGACATCCAAAGCCCAACATTCTCCAGAATCACAGCTCAGAGCAACCCCGCCAGCACCCAAGACCCCTGCAGAGTCCCTCCTGCAAGCACATCAATCACAGTGACCTCCCGTCCCATGTCTTGTTCTAATGAGAAGGGGCAGTTGGCCATAGAAAATCAATTTAGCTATGCATGCAAAATTCTCTGACTCACTCCAAAGTTCCCATCGACAGGTATTACTTTTAAACTTGTTTGAAAATTCCAATAGTGAAATACGTAACACTAAGATTTGTGAGCCGCATGCTCAGAACCATTTCTGTACAGTGAAGATTATTTTCATAAGCCATTTACCCACATGAGCATGTGCCTCTTCCCTGCCTCCTGTAGAGGAACCCCCCCGCCTTTTTACTTCTGGGACAGTACTGGAAGCTTCAAATCCAGTCATCATAAACCTGTTTCATATGAGAAAAACTAAAAGAAATACTGCATCGAGCCTGTTAAAATCCTTGGTAATGGAGAGTGATAGCCAGAAGATTGAACAAAGGACTTCTCAAAGTGCTTCAGTTTCCCCAGGCTGAAGGCCCTGTAACTCACCCTGATTTTCAACATCATCTTCAAGAAGTATGTTCTATGTTCTCTGTAACTCCCAAAGAAAACTTTTTAGTCAATTTAGCATATTTAAATTCAAACAAAAGAATAAATATAATGTGATCATTTTAGTTTTCAAAAAAGCAGAATCCCTTTTTTGTGTTCATAGTCATAAGTAGGTCCCTTCATAGGGCAGCCACAGGAAAAACAAGTTAGAAAGACAACAACCCCTAAGATTCCAAGGCAGGACAGGTGGGAGCAGAACTAGCGAGCGGCTCCTTAGCTCCTTCTATAGGGTCAAATTGGCAGGTGGTCAGGAAGCCTGTGTCTGAAGGCATGTGGCAACTGAAAGGCCATTCTTTAACTTGACCACAGGCTGTTTAGCACAGTACAGATTAGAGTTACAGCTACATAAACCAGCACAGTCATTCTGTAGTGCTTCAACCATTTATAATGCTTTGGTTTGCTAATTTGTTCACGTACCTTTTTATGTTACATTCTGTTGCTTTTGTAAACGTTTCTCATATTGGGGATCTACAGGTAAACACAACTTGCTATTTCAATAAAAAAGTCATTGTTAAGAATATTATATCCAATAAATGATAAACAGGTAAATATAAAGAGTGTCTTGTTCGTTATTGAGGATATTATGAAAATGGAGGGAAGAACTCAAGTAGAAAAAAATGTATCTATACTCTCATTTGTTTATAAGTGCATAAAGACATTTTGGAGCAATGCACAAGAAATTAAGAACAGCTAGTAGGTGGGGTGGGTGATAAGCAAGGGGTGCATCTGCCAATCATCAGGGACTGGGCAGATGAGGAGAATGGTGCCTGTTCACCCTCATCATTGGTAAGTGGGGGGAAACTGATTATTTGAATAACATTAATTCATAACCCATCGAAGAACATTTTAAAACTTACCTTATTCAGGTAAGAGATAAATTCAAAAAGTAGCAGTAGAGACATACCAAACAAACAGGCAATGAAAATCTAAATTTGATGGATAAATACTTATAAATTATAAAAATAGCACCCAACTTCATAAAGAAAACTGCAGAAAACACATATTCAAAATGGTAACAAGAACAAAAGGTCTTTATTCTTACCACTCTCCACTCACAACAAACTAGACACAATAAGTACAAGGATGACCTCAAATCTAGGGAATAAGTTTATGGGATGGGATACTCCAAACACACAGAATAGAACTTTATTCCAAGTGCCTCGGGGGGAGAAAGGAGAAAGAAATCCTCAAAAAAAATAATGCTGTGTCCTAGAAATGTAATGATTCTTTAGTCAAAAGTGAATTACAGATTATCTAGAAGAAAACGAATTAGAACATTTGAAATAGCACATGGTCTGGGTATGTTTCTCAAAAATCCTTGCACTATAAGAACTCATCTGTGATACGTGTTAAGTTCCCTTACCCATAGGAGAATGGTGCCTGTTCGCCCACACCATTGTGGGTGTCCCTTTCCTGGGACATCCCAATCCAGTGAGCCCAAGATGGGCCCAGGAAACTTGTATTTAGTAAGTACTCTATAATGGTTTAAATATGTGGCGTCTTCCAAAAGCACATGTGTGAGACAATGCAAGAATGTTAAGGTGAAAATATTAGATTATGAAAGCCATAACCTAATGGTGGATTAATCCACTGATAGGGATTAACTGGGGTGCAACTGTAGGCAGGTGGGGTGTAGCTGGAGGAGGTGGGTCCCTGGGGGCGTGACTTTGGAGTTTGTTTTGTTTCTGGAGAGCAGAGCTCTCTCCGCTTCCTGGTTGTCATTCCCTGAACTGCTTTGTCTGCCACACCCTTCTGCCACCATTTTCTGCTCACCTCAGGCCCCAGAGCTATAGAGTTGGCCAACCATAGGCTGAACCTCTAAAGCCATGAGCCAAAATAAACTTTTTCTCCTCGAAGTTGTTCTTGCCAGGTTTCTTTTGGTCACAGCTTCACAAAAGCCGACTAAAACACTCACAATTGAATCTTTGGATCAAGAAGGCTTAGAAAAAAAATTCTCACAGTAATAAAACAAACAGTGCTTAGGGAAAATTCACAGACCTTAAATATGTATTACTAAGCAAAAAAGATGAAAATGAATGAACTTAATGTCTAACAAAAAAGTTATAAAAGGGACAACAAAATAAGCCTCCGGGGGGTGAGGGGAACAGAAGAAGGTGGAAATGTAGCTCAGGGGTAGAGTGCTGGCCCACCACACACAAGGCCCTGGGTCCCCTCCCCAGCACCAACACAGTAACAAATAACAAAAGCCAGAACTGCAAAATGCTTGTTATTAACAGGCACAGTGGCACACGCCTGTTATTCCAGCAACTCAGAAAGCAGAGGCAGGAGGATCGCTAGTTCAAAGCCAGCTTCAGCAACTTAGTGAGGTCCTAAGCAACTCAAAATGAGGCCCTGTCTCTAAATAAAATATAAAAAGGGATAGGGATGTGACTCGGTGGTTAAGAGCCCCTGGGTTTAATCCCTGATAACAACAAAACAAAAAACAGAAGAAATGAATTTATACAATAGAAAAAGAATAAAACCATGAGTTGCTCCTAGGGAAAATTAAAACAGGCTATTAACCACCTTCAAATATCATTAAGCAAAAAGAAGAGAACGAGCAAATAGACATAGCACATAAGCTCATAGAACCCAACAGCCCGCCATAACCAACGAGACAGTCTCATTGGTGTGAGGATGGTTTGAAATCTAGCCCAGAGGGTGCAAGACGTTGCCAAGCTTGGTGTCAGCCAGAAGGAATGTGCCGAGCATGCCTGGTTAGCAAACGCAACCTACAACAGACCAAAGCATGAAATCAAGGGGGACGTGGACAATGACCCTGGAAAAGGGAGAGGAAGGCTTTACAAAGTGTGAAGATGCTCTAATTTTTAGGTTTTAAAATCAAATCTAGCAAATATAGAGAGATACGCATTTGTACAAAAGGTAAAACGCCAATGAATCAACTTAAGGTGAATGTTCCATAAACTATATGGAACAGAGCTGAAAATTGCTAGCATCAATAAAATTAATCATGTTTTATAAGAGGATGTGAGGGGAAAGGGAAAAAAAATCAAGGGAGGGAAATGAATTACAGTAGATGGGGTAGAGATAGAAGATGGGAGGGGAGGGGAGGGGGGATAGTAGAGGATAGGAAAGATAGCAGAATACAATAGTCACTAGTATGGCAATATGTAAAAACATGGATGTGTAACCGATGTGATTGTGCAATCTGTATATGGGGTAAAAATGGGAGTTCATAACCCACTTGAATCAAATGTATGAAATATATGTCAAGAGCTTTGTAATGTTTTGAACAACCAATAAAAAAAATTAATCATGTTTTTTCTCTATGCCCCTTCTCAAAAGTTTTGGAAGGGCAGAATAAAATACACTTATTAATGCTGTATGTGTACAGGTGAGTGTATGACCAATGTGATTCTGCAACCTGTACAGTCAGAAAAATAAGAAATTATACCCCATTTGATTCAAATGTATGAATTGTCAAGATCACTGTACTGTCATATGTAGCTAATAAAAAATAAATTAATTAAAAAAAAGTTTTGGAGCTCTAATGACCTTTTAACTGGTCTCTCCATTATCCAGAAAAATCTCACTCCTGTGCAGACCTTTGCAGCTGGTCTACTCAGAGGCCAAGTTAACTAGTTTGTCTCTGAGGAGGAGAAATGCATATGGTATGCCATCTAACATCTTTGCTGAGTGAAAGCTCCACCAAGTTTGTCTTAAGCTTCCAACCAGCAGTCCTTTTGCAGTCACCCCAACTGTCTACAAACTGCGCCCTCAGCTTCAAAAGCTTTCTGCTTTCAAGACTAAATTCAGTACACTGCTCCACATTTCAGCAAAGTCATCAGATCCGGCAGCTGGGGTTTTCCTTATCAGAGCTTCAGCGTGTGCAGACACACACGCACAGACAGGTCCATTCTGCAAAGACTGACCTGGACCATTCACCATAAGCAGGACAGGACCAGAGTCTTGAGATAAGCACCTCGAGCTTTGATGTGAGGCCAAGAGCCGAAGAGAAGACTCCTGGACTCTAAGGAGGAGCACCACTGCACAGGGGGACGCAGCCTGGCAGTGCGGCCCAGGGGGGGTGGGGGGTGGATAACAGAAAACACATGAGGGAGAGCACGCCAGGGGCCTGCAGTGGCTCTGAGGACAGCTGCAGGCCAGAAGCCAGGAGGCCCCGTGCATGTTTATGTAGCTCCAGTGCATAAATATTTTGTTTCACGTCTAACTCCAAAGCACAAGTGCAAGAAAACAGCCTGCTCTATAGACGCCCAATGATGAGAACACATGTGCGCGTGCTTAGGTAAAAAGATGTATTTCAATGTGGGAATAGCCGTCTGTTACAAAAAAATACTGCGAGTCTTCAACTAAATAAATATACAGCCCTCAAGGACGCAGAATATCACGTCCAGTTCAACAGTCATTTTTTGTTTTATTTTGCTTGAATTTCTCAGGCAGCTGGTGCTCTGATCAGTGGACAGAGGACTTCCGAGGCAGCTTTTTTTTCCTTTCTTCTAATAAGGAGACTACATTCTAGAAAAACAAGACAAGCAAGTGAATGTCCTCCAAACTTTTGGTGGGTTTTGTGATTTGGAAAGCACTACAAAATTAGCCTTGCTGGGCAGAAGGGCATCCCCACCTGTCTGTCAAACACTCTGGCCATTTCTAGGACCCCTTTGCCAAACTGAAAGAGGAGACAATAAAAATATATATTAGAATATACATAAGTATATATACATATGTTTATATATTTCTTTCTTCCCCAAGGAAGATCTTTCAATAGAGATTATTTACCTCATTTTTCACACTTGCATCTGCCCCTTTGTCAAGAAGTAACTCAACCAACTGCTCGTGATTATTTAATACGGCCACCTGAAAGACAGCAGTGCTGCATGAGGTCCACTCCCCTCCCCGGGGGTGCAGGCCACAGGAAGGGTGCACGGGCAAACTCAGGGCCCAGCAGCTAAGGAGGGCAGAGCTGGCTGGGTCACCAGCCTGCCAGACCTGTGTCCTGCTCCATCTAGGGCATCACAACTGCTAGGATGAGGGAAGGGCCACCTCCCTCTCCCCACTGAAATGACACTGGGAAGACCAGGCCAGCACAGGAAACCATCTGTTTTGATCCTACTGTGGCCCTAGGGACCAAGGTTGACAATCCTTAAAGGAGGATTTGTTGAAAGACAACAGAAACGACACAGTGCCAGGCATAGCCGTGCGTGTCTATAGTTCCAGCTGTGCAGCAGGATCGCTGGGCCCAGGAGTTTAAGGTCAGCCAAAGCAATATAATGAGACCTCATAGTTAAAAAAAAAAAAAAAGTGACCCCCTCATACCTTTATTAAAAGGCTGGCTGGCAGGAGCACACGCAACCAAACCCAGGGCCTAGGAATGAGCCACCAAACTCACAAGAATGTCCAATCGTAGAAAAGCTCTGGCCTTCGGGGGAAAGGCGTACCATGAGCGGTGTCTTCCCATCTTTGTCTCTCACATTCACATCAGCCCCAGCCTCAATGAGGAGCGAGGCCACCTTCTGGCTGCCCGACACCACAGAGACTCTCATGAGCGGCGTCCACCCTGAACCAGTGTCCACAACGTCCACCTGTGGGCCAGATGAAGAGCTGCCTCAGACTGGCTGCTTCTCCAACTCACAGAAGGAAGGTCCGCTTGCCCCGGCTCCCCCGACTTAGCGGGCAGCCTGTCCAGGCTGGGTGCAGGTTCTCGCCCAATCCTCACCCAGGCGCAGTGATAAGATAGATGTGTTAGAATCACCTTAGGGGGTCTGCTGAGGGGGGGACCCCCTAATGTGATTCTTCTGCATCTTCTCACTGCACCTAGGTGAGAATCAGGTGAATGCAGTCCAGTGAACCTGTACCGAGTCTTGACAGGCTGCCACTAAGTCGGGGGAGTCGGGGCAAGCGGACCTTCCTTCTGTGAGTTGGAGAAGCAGCCAGGCTGGGGCAGCTCTTCATCTGGCACCTTGCTCCTGGCCCATGGGAACTCCCTGAGGTGCGTTCCTTGCCTAGCTTTCGTCACCTGTCTAAACAATGCTTATTTTTATGCATCTTTGTTAGGTGGGCTTCAGTTCTTTTCTGGAACAAGATATGTACACACCCTTGTGTTTAAGGATACTTCTGTTCGAAGCAGGAGAACTACAGTAAGCACAGTGACCAGACCCATTACACAAACTCCAATCTGAAGAGCCACTAACCCAATGACTCTCCAAGAAGTAATATGGTTGGTCACTTCCCAAACATCTGCTCCTCGCTGAACTCTATCAATTTAGTGTTTTAAAAATGCAAATGTTGCTGCTCATAATTCCATCGAAGCCCTAACCAACCCATGAAGAGAGGTGCTGAAGACACGGGCGAGCCCAGACCCTCACACACAGACTGAAAGAATGACTCGGAAGGCCTAGCTTTAGTGAAGCCCGAGAGGAGAACGGCAAACAGGGCCTGGCAGGAGATGACCTACTGCAGCAGCGCTCTCCCTCGCGCAAACAAACCACCTACAGGCCAGAGCTCATCCCATTCGAATACTGAAATCACGGCACCAGCTGCCGCCCACGCTTCCCAGCACACTCCCACACAATCTCTCTTTTGGTCCGAGGGTTAAGCAGGAGTAGGTGATTCTACTTCTGGGTTTAGAAATGATCAAACGAAACTTCATAAGTCATATGGCTCATAGGTAGAAATGTTCCCTATTGAAGTAAATCATTCACTCTCAGTATAAAACCATCACGTTTGGGAAGGGGATGGCTACACCCTGCTGGGCTCCAGTCTTCAAAAGTCTCAGGTGAGCCATCTGCAAGCACACAGAAATGCCGTTGACACCCCCACTAGCCAGCCACATGAAGATCTTCAGCACACACACCTACACTTATGGATTTATTATCTGCAACACAGCTTCTGTTGGATGGAAAGATGGATTTATCCCAGAGAATTGGGCTTGTCTAAAGCCCAGAGAGTCTACATTTCCAAAGCTCCAGTATTGAGATGCTCACAGCAGAAACCTGCCCTCATCTGGATCCTTTTCTTCAATCATCTGAGATTGATTGATTTTCTTTAATCAGACTCTTACTGGGTCCAGAGCAGAACACAGCTCATCATAAACCAAATCAGGGGAACATTGTATTATTGCTAGCACAGAGGCGAAGCCTTCTGAACTCTTGTGCATGTCTCTAAAACATGAGGAAACATGAAAGGTAAGAAAAAGGGCTTATCTTAATAATTGAATTTTTTTCCCCTTCAAGGGGGCCTTTTTCTCCACCCTCCCAAAGCAGTGTCAGGAACCAGTGAGATTCCACAGCATAAGACCTACTTTCTTTCAGTCACACTTTGGGAACAAACTAGAATAAATATACCAACATCTTCTGGGAGATGTGACTTTGCTCAAATTGGATTGATTTTCCAGGTCATCAACTTAATTTCTCAGGACTCTGCGCTGCCTGGTAATCAGTTAGCATGGCATTTTGTCCGTCATTCTTTATTTCTATGCCTTGAAATCTTTAGTCCAAGCCTTTGGAGAATTTCCAGAGCTATCAGCAGTTACCATAATTGATCTAATTATAACTAGCCATTTTCACATATCTATAGAAGTTCATACAACATGACTTCTATTTGCTAAATCAGATTTGTACCTCCTGCTGACATGAAAACACAAGCAAATCAACAGGCCTGGGTAAAGACTGACAGCCGAGAGCCTCCATTCTTCACATGGCCACTTGCCCTTTGGAAACTATAATGATTAATGCAAAGTAAGTAAAAATGATCTAGTTTTAGAAGCAACAACAAGTGCTGAGCCTGGGAGAGCTCTTAACATCTTTGTGTTGCAGCATTTAAGATGATATCTGGTAGGTGGAAGATGCTCAGTGAAGCCTTGGTGACGGGCTGCATAAGAGATAAGTAAGCAAATGAACAAAGGAATCTGGTCCAGCTCTGATTCCAGCCTCATTCCTTCTTCCTAGAGGAAACCAAAATCCAAGACAACCGGAAGCCTTACTGTCAAATCAATGCCACAATGATGTCTTTTTTTCTAAGATTTCAGGAGTTTTCTCACTGATAGGTCAGAGATCTTTCTCCATCATTTCTAAGTTAGGTCAGAGATCTTTCTCCATCATTTCTAAGTTGGGCCAATCAAAGGTCCTGACTCTCCTAGTCCCTGTGGAATGGAATTTCAGGTTCTTAACAGTCCTGTGTGGCTAATAAGGCAGGCCCTGTACCTCACAGCCATCCTTTATCATCCAGTCGATCACAGTGCAGTGGCCTCCATCTGCAGCCCAGTGCAAAGCTGTGCAGCCGCCCAGGTCTCTAGCCTCCCAGGAAGCCCCATGTCTGCGGAGGTATTTCACAACATCCAGATGTCCCGCGTAGCATGCAAGCATAAGACTGCAACACATGGGAGAAGTATTTGGCTGTAAGTGTATCTGTCAAGTTCAGGCACACTGTACCCTTACTATGTGAATCTTACTCGCACTTGTGACTACTTCCTGAGAGCACAATTCCTTAAGTAGAATCTCTATGTCAATGACTGTGACTTACTTTTAATGCATATTTCCAAACTGCTTTCCAAAAAGGTTATATCAATTTACACTTCTATCAACACTTTCTGAAAACATCTATTTACTCTACCTTTTCCAATTACAAATGTTACAGGTGGTATTTTTTATTCTAGCCAAGTCAAACATTTTTCATACAAATTGTTTACAGTGATTTTGCTTTAAAATTGTCTTTTCACTTAAATTGCTCTTTTTTCCTACTGTGTAGAGACGTTTGTTTGTTCAGTGTTGTGTCTGTGTGCCTGACTTCTGCACACTGAAGATGTTCATCACGTGTCTATGACATTCAAATATCCCCTCAGATTACCCTTAACTGTGTAATTTAGTTCTTTAAAGTGTGTGATGTATGCACAATCTTTTTCCCACTGATTTCCTTCATTCTTTTGCTTTCACATTACAAGATCAGATAAGCATATGCCCCTTCCTTGTAGCTTATGATTTTTGTTTTTTTTTGTTGTTGTTGTTGTTTTTTTTTTACATTTAATACTTCATTCACCTGAAAGAAATTGTGGTACATGTTTTAAGGCTAGGATCTAACTTAATATTTTTTTCTTCAAAAAGCCTATTTTTCTAAAACCTTTCTTATTGATTTGTGTTGCTTGTTATCATATACTAAGTTCTTATGGGGATCTATCTTAGGACTTCTATTCCATTCTATTTACTTTTCCAATTATATGTTCCAGTACCATACTACTTTAATTACTATAAGTTTTAGGGCGTATTAATAACTGCCAAGGCAAATCTTTCCACAGTCCTCTATAACAAAGTTACATTAGCTGTTATCATCTATTGACAAGTTTCCAGGAATAACTCCATTTGAAGCTATATTCAATCTGTATGTTAATTTGGAAAAACTTAAAATATGTATCTATTTTTTAAGTCTTTATATCTCTCAATATAGTTGTATAGGTTTAGTTTTTCATTCAAAAAAAATTTTTTTGGTTGATACTGGGAATTGAACCCAGGGATGCTTTACCATTGAACTACATCCCAGTCCTTTTATTTATTGCTATATTTTTTTAATTTTTTATATGTTTTTATTTTGAGATTGGCCTTGAAGTTGCCATCCTTTTACCTCAGCCTCTGAGTTGCTGGGATTATAGGTATGCACCATTACACCCAACAAATATCTTGCTTTTAAAAGAAATATTTTATTCTACTTTATTTTTCCTATTATATTTATTAAGCAAGTAATTTCAGGTATTTAAAATTTTTGTTGTATAGTTGGTCATATAACTGAACCTCCTCATTAAGTCCAGGTATTTGAAAGTTGATTCTCTTGGGTTCTGCACGACAGGAGTCACACTCTTATTTCACATCTCACCAAGATGATCAGACTTCCAAAGTACTGTCCAATCATGAGTTAACAAAATACAACCTATACTTACTGTTATGGGCCAGACTATAAGGGCAATGACCAAAGAGACTCCATTTTTCCCTGAGACTCCACATCATATAAGAAATGCTTCTCCCATAGGAAAGCCCCGCTTCTGTACCCATCAATAGTTGCTTAGCATAGCATGTTTGGCAACACAAAATGCCAATTCTTATACAATGTAAAAGTATTCTCTCTTTGGTTCCCATTTTTCTTGGACAATGTACCCTGTCAGAGATTGACTCTTCAGATGTTAGTAACCATTCTTTAACTTGTACTCAACTAGGGACATTTTGGTCCACTCCCTTTTTTGCTTACGATTTTAGATCTCATGACGTTTATTTATGGTTTGAACAACAGCCACTTCTGATTAAAATGATTCTGGACTATAAAAGGTGTACTCAAACCCCAAGAGGAGTTTGAAGGGTGAAGACTTGCAGCCTACCCCTTGGCCCACCAGCTGATGGATCCGGATCTGCAGCTGGTGAATAAAGTTTCCATCTCCTGCTTTAAGATCGACTCAGTGCGCCGGCAAGGTAGACGGAACTGCGACCACACACAGAACAGGCCCAGCGGCCTGCTGAGGGGCAGAGCCGCCCCCCACCCCCCGCGCCTGCCAGGTAGGCGGAACTGTGACCACAGACAGAAAAGGCCCAGTGGCCCGCGGAGGGACAGAGCTTCCAATCACTCCTGCAAGGTAGGCGGGCCTGCGACCCACCGGCAGAACAGGAGCAGCGGCCTGCTGAGAGGCAGAGCCGCCCCCTCCCCCTGTGCCGGCAAGGTACACGGAACTGTGACCACCCACAGAACAGGCCCAGCGGCCTGCTGAGGGGCAGAGCCGCTCCCCACCCCCTGCGCCTGCCAGGTAGGCGGAACTGTGACCACAGACAGAAAAGGCCCAGTGGCCCGCGGAGGGGCAGAGCTGCCAACCACTCCTGCAAGGTAGGTGGGCCTGCGACCCACCTGCAGAACAGGCGCAACGGCCTGCTGAGAGGCAGAGCCGCCCCCTCCCCCAGCGCCTGCAAGGTAGACTGAACTGTGACCACCAACAGAACAGGCCAGACCTGCAACCGACAGACAGAACAGGCCCAGTGGCCTGAGGAAGGGTAGAGCCGCCCCCCCCCCCGCGCCTGCAAGGTAGGCGGACCAGCGACCCACCGGCAGAACAGCCCCAGAGGCCTGCAGAGGGGCAGTGCCGCTGCCTGCGCCTGCAAAGTAGGCAGAACTGCGACCACCGACAGAACAAGCCTAGCGGCCCACAGAGGGACAGAGCCGCCGCCCACGCCTGCAAGGTAGGCGGACCTGCTACCGACCAGCAGAGCAGGCCCAGCGGCCTGCCGGCATGGTAGGCACATTGCCCCAATTGGAGGAGGGGCAAAGCCGCCACCCGCGCCTGCGAGGGAGACTTTGCAACTATACAAGACCAATATAAATATATAGGGGGAAAATTCAATAGCACAACAGTTTCACCAAGTAGAAAGGAACGCGAACAGTATGAAGATACAAGGAAAGAAAGGACCACAAGCAATGCAGGTCAACTCAACGTTAGAAGAGGTAATAGCTGCAGCAGATGGAATGTCAGATAAAGAATTCAGGATATACATGCTTCAGATGATCTGGAGTCTCAAGGAAGACATCAGACAGCAAAATCAGACAATGAAAGATCACTTCAACAATGAATTACATAAACAAATCCAAGAAGCAAAAGATCAACTATACAGGGAGATAGAGGTTATAAAAAACAAACAGAAATCCTAGAAATGCAGGAAGCAATAAACCAACTTAAAAACTCAATTGAGAATACTACCAGCAGAGTAGAACACTTAGAAGATAGAACATCAGACAATGAAGATAAAGTATTTCAACTTGAAAAGAACATAGACAGCTCAGCAAGACTGTTAAGAAACCATGAGCAGAACATCCAAGAAATATGGGATAACATCAAGAGACCAAATTTAAGAGTCATTGGGATACAGGAAGGGACAGAGTTTCAAACCAAAGGAATGAGCAATCTATTCAATGAAATAATACGAGAAAACTTCCCAGATTTGAAGAATGAGACAGAATCCCAAATCCTAGAAGCCTACAGGACGCCGAATGTGCAAAATCATAAGAGACCCACACCTAGACACATTATAATGAAGATGCCCAACATACAGAATAAGGAGAGAATTTTAAAAGCTACAAGAGAAAGGAAGCAGATCACATTTAGGGGTAAGCCAATCAGGATAACAGCTGATCTTTTAACACAGACTCTGAAAGCTAGAAGATCCTGGAATAACATATTTCAAAAACTGAAAGAAAATGGGTTCCAACCAAGAATTGTGTTTCCAGCGAAATTAAGCTTCAGGATGGAAGATGAAATTAAAACCTTCCACGATAAACAAAAGTTAAAAGAATTTGCAGCTAGAAAACCATCTCTTCAAAACATCCTTGGCAAAACATTACAGGAAGAGGAAATGGAAAATAACAATGAAAACCAACAGTGGGAGGTAGGACAGTAAAGGGGGGAAAAATAATCAAAGAGGAAAACAAACCATGTTTAGTAACAGAAATAAACAAATATGGCTGGAAGAACAACCCATATCTCAATAATAACCCTAAATGTTAATGGCTTAAACTCACCAATTAAGAGACACAGGCTAGTAGAATGGATCACAAAACAAGACCCAACAATATGCTGCCTACAGGAGACGCATTTGATAGGAAAAGACATACATAGGCTGAAGGTGAAAGGTTGGGAAAAATCATATCACTCATATGGACTTCGGAAACAAGCAGGTGTGTCCATACTCATATCAAATAAAATAGATTTCAAGCCCAAGTTAATCAAAAGGGATAAAGAGGGACACTACATACTGCTCAAGGGAACCATACACCAACAAGACATAACAATCATAAATATATATGCCCCCAACAAAGGTGCAGCTATGTTCATCAAACAAACTCTTCTCAAGTTCAAGAGTCTAATAGACCACCATACAATAATCATGGGAGACTTCAACACACCTCTCTCACCAATGGACATATCTTCCAAACAAAAGTTGAATAAGGAAACTATAGAACTCAATAACACAATTAATAACCTAGACTTAATTGACATATATAGAATATACTACCCAACATCAAGCAGTTACACTTTTTTCTCAGCAGCACATGGATCCTTCTCAAAAATAGATCACATATTATGTCACAGGGCAACTCTTAGACAATATAAAGGAGTAGAGATAATACTATGCATCTTATCTGATCATAATGGAATGAAACTGAAAATCAACGATAAAAGAAGGAAGGAAAAAGCATACATCACTTGGAGAATGAACAATAGGTTACTGAATGATCAATGGGTTATAGAAGACATCAAGGAGGAAATTAAAAAATTCTTAGAGATAAATGAAAACACAGACACAACATATCGGAATCTATGGGACACATTGAAAGCAGTTCTAAGAGGA